TACTATTATAATGCCGATATATGGCATTATGGCCTCAATTATATATATGTATATTCAACATAGGCATATACAATATTGACCCGTTAAAATTAAATTATTCATAATTATATATTATTATAATGCCGATTATGACATTATGGCCTCAATTCATCATATCGGCGTCCCGCGCCGCACCACCAGTAAAAAAAGTTCCTAATTTCTTGTAGATATCAAGTATTTCCTGTAGAGAACGCACACCCAATGAAACGTTATTTGACGACACACCACCAAAATGAAAAGTAATGAATATAGTAATATAAGTAGTTAATTTATGCATTGCACATCCATACTTACCTGTGTAGCACATTCACCCAAACTCTGCGCGATAGTGGACATGCGCTTATTGATGTGGAAAATCTCTCGCGCATTCCAAATCTTGCGCTGCAAATTGCGAGGCAATCCAACCTAATTGGTCTTTCCAACTTTCCAACAAGCAGAAAATGAGGCAACTTACCTTGGAACCCCATTGGGAAAGCTAACACGCAACGCTTCACGATAGCGACACAATTGACCCCACTAAATTTCCAGCTCTAGCGGCACATTGAGAATTTTCTTTCGTCCTATGCAACTATATTTAATCAGTTCTTCAGAAACAACATAAAATTCAAGAACCTTCTTTATAACAAAATAAAATTAACATTATATTTAAGAAGCAAATCAGAGAAAGCGCTTACTTCAAACAATGTTTCCAAATAATGCCGGCCATCGTTGATAAAAAATTTAATAGCCCTAGGTGCATCTTTTTCTTACGCATTCAAAAAATATGCATAATGAATGTTGCTACTCTTACAACAGAATTTTGAATTTAAAAACAAAAAGTTAGCTTTGAATATGTGGTGTAATAGGTGGAAATTTCCAGATGTAGTAGTGAATTGGTTACCTTCGTATTGTAGGGTTTCCTCATAAAAAAAATTGAAAATCATTGCCTCTCGAACAAAGCACACAAACTACAGTGTATACAAAAAAATATACAGACAGCAGCACTGATAATATGCGCAAGATGCACTTATTCTACACAGGGGACCAAAGCAATTGTAAAGACTTATGAATTGGTATCTGATGTGTGCAGTAAAAATAGAATACATATTTACACATATGTGCACGAATATACACACAATATCCCTTGATAAGTTGTTAAGAAATTAGAACTTGTAAATGTATATAAGGGAGATCAGTATTAAAATAAATTTCTCACATTCTAAATCTCATATTATTATATATATGAATTCCAATCCTCTGGCTGACATCCACATCAACTCAATGTATATTTTGCCTCTTCGGTTTAGTTTATATCACATATAACTCATATAATGAGGATTTTAATATAATTTTATCGACGCGATAAATTTGATGATAATCCATTCACGATTTCGTCGAATAATGAATGTTTAACTCTTCCGCAGCACTTTTTTATTTCCCAACATGTTACTACAGAGTATACAATTTTTGTTCACCTAACGGTTGTTTGTATTAGCTAAAACTAATCGAGTTAGATATACGGTTATATATATATATAAATGATCATAATGAGGAGACGAGTTGAAATCCGGGTGATTGTCTGTCCATCCGTCCGTCCGTCCGTGCAAGCTCTAACTTGAGTAAAAATTGAGATATCTTTATGAAACTTGGTAGGAATGTTTCTTGGTACCGTGAGTTGGTATTGCAGATGGGCATAATCGGACCACTGCCACGCCCACAAAACGCCAATAATCAAACACAAATAAATTGCCATAACTAAGCTCCGCAATAAGATACAAGACTGTTATTTGGTACACAGGATCACATTAGGGAGGAACGTCTGCAGTTAAAAAATTTTTTTTAAGTGGGCGTGGTCCCGCCTCAAATAGGTTTAATGTGCATATCGCTTAAACCGCTAATGCTATAATAACAAAACTAACTGGAAGCAAATGTTTTTAGCACCTCTATTGACGATGTGAAAACAGTTCAAATCGGGTGGCAACTCCGCCGAATCCCCATATAACGGTACTGTTAAAAAATACTAAAAGCGCGATAAATCAAGCCCTAAACGCGCCAGAGAACTTAAATTATATCTTCGGGATTGTATGAGATGACTTTATGGGAACCGCGTTCAAAATTAGACAGTGGGCGTGGCGCAGCCCACTTTTAGGTGGAAACCCATATCTTGGGATCTGCTTAACCGATTTCAACCAAATTCTGTGCATAACGTTATTTTCATATTTCTATGTTATAGTGCGAAAATGGGCGAAATCGGACTACAACCACGCCTATTTCCCATATAACATCATTTTCAATTCCATCTGACTCTTTCAGTTTCCACTATGCATATCAAGCAACAATAATTATATCGGGGTAAAACTTTGCGTGAATAATACGTTTAAAGTATGCCACCTTGTGACCAAAAATTGTCTAAATCGAACCAAAACTGTTCAAGCCCCTAAGTACTAAATATGTGGACCCTAGTGCCTATAGTTGACCTTCTACCAAAAATATCAGTCAATCCACAAAGAAATCTCAAACGAATATACCATTTGACTTTGCGAGAGTATAAAATGTTCGGTTACATCCGAACTTAGCCCTTCCTTACTTGTTTATTTATGAATTGTATTGACTGCTTCTCTACCAAATTTCAAATCGATTCAGCCGTTCTTGAGTTATAAATAGTATAACTAACAGAACTTTCTTTTATATATACCTACATATGTATATATAGATTTAGACCGCTTTTTGATCATTGTGGATGGTTGATGGTAACGGCAGTGGAACATATCCCGAAGGAACGGCCTTGTGTCATACACCATAAAAATATTTCTGTGTCAATGCGGGCACCCCGAGATGGATCCCTGAACTTGCTCTTGGATTGCATCTACTCTCTCGGATGTGAAGCTTTATTTATTAGCTTTAAATTGATCAGAAATCAATAAGCTTTTTGTTTCTTTCGTACTGGTCTAAGCAGTTTTCGTATAGTGCGTAAGGCAAAAATTTAAAATCGTGTGGAGATCTTATTAACTTATTAAATATTATAGGTCGTAGACTAATATTAGTGTACTTCTATATTTTGTTCACATACGAGGTATTAGTAATTGAAAACCACAACCTAGTTACCTCAAATGAGATGTCTGCATAACTAACGAAGT